GGCACCCCCCCGGCAGCACCTTGTGCAGGGGGAGGACGAGGAAGGCGCCGCCACCGCTGGCCTCCACGATGATGGCGACAAAGGAGGGGTTGACGGCGCAGAAGGTGCTGTCCCAGGTGACGCGGGACACGCGGATGTCATCGTAGCACTGCTCCGTCTTCACCGGCTGCCCGAACACGTGCCGGAATTTGCTCTGCCGCACCACCTTCCGGAACGACATGGCTGGGGAGGCACCCCCGGGGCCACGCTCAGGCACGTGGGGACACCCCAAAACAAGGGGCAGGGCCACCGGGGAAGTGGTACCTGCTCCGGGCTCGCCACTGTCCTCTGCCCTGGGTAAAGGGCGGCTCAGCCGCTCCCACAACCGGGAATCGGGACACACACCCCACACACCCACCTCCCTGCCCGGCCCCCTGGGGGAGGGCTCGGGGGGCACCCCTGCAATGGGGGCTCTGAGGGGGACAGGGAATGTCCCACCCGGGATGGGGACAGGCATAGGGACAAGGATGTCCCCCTGGGTAGAGGGGTGGGGATAGAAAGGGGGACAGGGACAGCCCAGTGGGTCAGGGGACAGGGATGGGATGGGGACAGGGATGGAGATAGGGACAGGGGTGGTCCTGGCTGGCTATATAGGGACATATAGGGTGGCCCTGTGGGATAAAGAGTCAGGGACGGGGTCAGAGATAGGGACAGGGACAAGAAGAGGGCAGGGATGGGGACAGAGGTGGCCTTGCTGGGTATGAGGACAGTGACGGGGACAGGGATAGGGACGGGGTCAGAGATAGGGACAGGGACAAGAAGAGGGCAGGGATGGTGACAGGGGTGGCCTTGTTGGGTGTGGGGACAGTGATGGGTACAGGGATAGGGACGGGGAGTAGTCAGGAATGAGCATGGCCTCGTTTGGTATGGGGACAGTGATGGGGGACACGGATGGGGACAGGGACAAGGACGGGGATACAAAGCTGGTGGTGGCCCTGCTCGGTACGGGGACAGGAATGGGGACAGGGCAGGGATAGAGACACGGACGGGGATGGGGACAGGGATGGGGTCAGGGACGTGGGAAAGGGGTGGCCCGCTGGGCGTGGGCACAGGGACGGGTTCAGGGGCAAGGATGGGGACAGAGATGGGGACAAGGATGGGGACGGGGACAGGGA